AAGGGGGGAGCGAGCAGGTGTCTTACACCTACCCCCAGCGAATGACTGTAAACATGCCGATAGAGGGATCCCTCAATCAGGAGGTGTGCAGGGTGGACCTGAACAGTGAGAATGGGATAACAATCCCAGATCACTCAGGTGCTCCAGATGACCACTCAGCCAAGGGTCAGGCATGCTCCACCCCCTGCAGGGTTCCTAGAGCGCAGGCATGAACAAATCGAAAAAGCAGATGCCCTGGAAAAGGAGGAGCAGCATCAGCATCTGCGTCAGATCTCCCCAGATTTCCAGGATGTTGGTGCCCAAGATGCCACAGGGCATACTGAGAAAGACACCATGTACACGCTGCGCCAGCTTAAAAAGGCAACAGTCACTCAGAAGGAGATGACTGGGATCAGCCACCCAAAAATACTTTTGGGAGGACTGATTGCTGCCGCCATTGTTGTACGTTTGCTTTTTCTGGTAGGTTTGTGTGCTACTGGCACTCTCACCCTGACTGCCCCATGAAGGCAGGTGTCAGAGATGCCAGAGGGTAGTGACAGACTGTATCGACAGCAGCAAAGGCTGGAAAGCTTAGGGAAAACCCTACAGGCAACTTTCTATGCAACAGGGTTAAACCTTATCCCCAAACCAGTGGACATGATTGCCAGTGTTATACAGTGGGTTCATGCTTGTGTGCAACAGGCCAGAATGTTGACACAAGACCTGTTAAGGGAGTTTAGTGCCACTGTAGCCAGTCTAACCATGGCACAATTCCCAACCCACATGATTCCACTCTTCTCAGTATGTGACATTAACCCCATCGCTCATAGCTCACCCAGAAGGCAATCCAAGATTGAATTTGGTTCCAAATCTTGAGATGGGTATGGCTACCAAAGCTATCCATTGGCTGTGTCTAAACGATTCACCAATGAAGGGTGTAAAGCTACTAACGAGCAGAGGGAGGTTAATGAACCCCATGAAGTGCAGGTGGGAAGTAAATGGCTGGTCAGCACACCACATTTAACTGTCACTATGACTTGTGACAGGCATGATACAGCTACCACAATGCAGCTACCTAACCAAATAGTTTTCCTGCAAGTTCCGGAGGAGGCCACAGTGCTCTTGAACTTAACACTGTACTGTCTAGAACCAGACAACATAAAACCAAACTTGAGGTCATGGATGCCTTCAGGTGCCATACTATTGAATTGAATAGAAATCCAAGAAACAGTATGCCCTGAAGAGGTACAGGTAGTTAGTTTGCTTTAATGGAACAAATCTCCAAACCACCCTAGCAGATACCCAACACAGGTGTTGTGGTTTATCAGGGGGCTGAGAACAGGAACTGTTGTTATTGTAACACTACTGCCGGGAAGCTGGATCATGACTGACAGTGTACTCTGAATGCTGTAGTCTTACATCAAGATGTACTCCGGGTAGCATGAATGAGTCAAAGGTAGCATGTCAAAAGAAAGGAAGTGACTTCTCCCCAAATATCTACTACAGAGGTATCAGATATTGACAGTGAACTTCCTGATGTGTAATTCCTAGACTTAGATAATGTCTCCTACCTTGTTTATACATACAGTACTCCAGATATTGTTCATAATGTTTGTATCCAATGCTGGTTCCTGTATGAATTCTCGAGGAGTAATGTGGTAATGAGTAATGAGTAATGTGGACATTTAAGGTTAATGTTCTAATGACAAGGGACATCACTTAACTCTGTTTTGTTTTGAAGGCAACAATGCCTCAGGACCTCGTGACCTTCAAAAAGGGGGGATATGTAGCGGTGAGGCTTATTAATAAGGCAGAATTATTAATTCTTAATTAATTAATTAATTGTTAATTATTATTAATAAGGCAGAATTAAGTGTTGCTGTGCTTTCCCAGATGAGGCCTCATCTCTCCCTTCAGAGAGGCTGCACCACAGAGAAGCTATTCATACACTTCAATCAAATCGAGAACCAAGAGACGTAGTCTAGACGTAGACGTAGTCAGAAAACAAGCCGTGGCTGGAATCCATAAAACTAGGAGTCTTGAAGAGAAGCACAGGAATGATGTAGCTCTAGCTAGAAAAAAACCTAATACTAAGCAAGGAGTGGTGTTCAGGCTGGTTTAAGTAGACAGGTGGGAGAGGGTGTGTCTGATAAGTTCATTAGAGATTGCACTGGAATGTGAAGGAGTTGATTGAGGGTGATGAGTCCTCCGGGGGCATGACACGAATGTCATAACCCCCTCTCCCCAGGGGCGGCCCCTGACTCCTTTGATGGATGGTTGGGAAACTCCCAGTTGAAATCTTTGATAAGTTGAGGGTCTAAAATATACTTTTCTGCAACCCAAGACCATTCCTCGGGTCCGTAACCTTCCCAATCAACAAGATATTGCAAAGTACCCCAGGACCAATGAGAATCCAGGATCTTCTTCACTGTAAATGCTGGGAGTCCATCAATAATCTGGGGAGGTGGGGATCTAGGCTGAGGTTTAGAAAGGGGGAGATCTATGAAAAGGTTTAAGAAGAGAAATATGGAAAGTAGGGTGGACCTTCACAGAAGGAGGGAGAGCCAAGCTGTATTTATCTGGAGTGACCTGGGCTAATACATGGAACAGACTGATAAAGCGAGTAGCGAATTTACGAGATGAATTCCAAAGGAGAAGGTTTCGAGTAGACAACCAAACCAATTGCCCTCGTCTGAGCCGGGATACCACTAGCTGATGTTTATCCGCTGTCTGCTTCAAGCAGCTCTTGGTGTTCAGGAGAGCTAATTTAGCTGTTTTCCAAATCAAAACAGCTGGTGCATTGGTTAGACCAAATGGCATAACAAGGTATTCATAATGTTCATTATGATGTTTTAGAAAATCCATCTTCCATTCATCTCCCTCTTGTATTCTAATAAGGTTATTAGATATCTAGCTTAGTATGGTTTGTAGCTCCCTGGACAGATTCCAAGGCTGCGTCGAGGAAGGGAATATCGGTTCTTGATAGTAATAGTATTGAGGTCACAGTAATCAATACAAGGGCGAAGACTTTTTCTCACTGAAGTTCTATCATATTTTAGAGTCTATATTACCAGGATTTCTGGCTGTAGCCTATAACACAATAGACAGTCTGTGCAGAGATTAGACAAACTATCTGAATAAGCTGAGTCTGTCTGCTAAGCAGATTTTTCTGGAATTGGAACACTAGGTCTCGGCACACAAAGGTAGAAGCTCCTGTGCACTGGTTTCTCCACATCTCTTTCTCTTTAAAGAAGAAAGGTTTCTTTAACTTGTTTTCAAAAGCCAAACCAAACAAGAATAGTTTATATCAGAAGATCTCAGGAATCTTTTATTCTTCTGTGATCTGTGAAATAGTGTGACAGTTCCTTCCACCTTCAAACATGTTATCTCCTGAGGACCCTTTATAAATTTGAACATTTTGAGATGAAGCAGGTGTTTAAAATTTTTGTAATGTGTAATGTTGTGTAATTTATTTAAACACTAATTTGTATGTGGAGGAGAGAGAGAGGTGTCCTGTCTTGTCCAGAGTGAGCTGGGACACCCAGGTGTCTCTGCAGTGGCTGGGGAGGGGTGCCACGACTGCAGAGAGCTGCTCTGGGCTGGGTGAAGAGCCCCATGGCTTCAGCAGCCCTCTCCCGCACCTGCAGCAGGATCCTCAGGGCTGCGGGAGGAAAGATACGAGTCTGTTACTAAGGGTCCTGTCAGTCCTGCTCAGCTTCTGACACAAAGCTGCAGTGCTGTGCCAGGCTGTTCCACTGGAGAGGGGAGGCAGAGCAGCAGCTCAGAATGAGAAGATCTGGACCTCCTGCACTGGGAATAATGGAATACAGACAGTCTGTGAGGTCAGTTTGCTCTTAACATAACAGACATTTGAGAAGGAGAAGGAAGTAATGAGGAAATTAAGCAACAGGCATCAAATTTTTAACTTCCCTTTCCCTGATGTCTGTCTCCAGCCTCTTCTGGATTTTACTGTAACGTATAAGGTCTTTACTGCAGACTCCACAGGATACTATACTGAGGCATTAAGACCCATACAGCTTGCAGGATAAGTGCCCCCTGCAGGACCCAGTAATGCCTCTTCCAGTGGCAAGCTTAGCTTTCCCAGGAGGTCTAAAATCTAGGTACTGGCCAGGCTCACACCTGCTTAGTTTCAGTAGGCTGCCAGTTGCGAGTTGCAGAGTGATATGGCTATAAAGGGCTAATTTTCACCCAATGAAATTGGAGGCATTTTTCTGGAAATGGGCAGAAAATTGCACAAAAGTAAATTAGCAGCTCAACTATTATTAGCAAGATCAAGGGGTTCATCAGGAAGAAAAAGTGGAAAGGTTTAAAATGGCCATATCAAGCATGATTGAGCATGTGTTTTACTGCTGAACACAAAACTATAAACCCTGAAAGTGGCTGCAGTTGGCTGCAGGGACCTCTCGCTTTTCTGAAGTTATTTCACTCACACCATTTTATATAACAGAGATAGGTGGTATGATTATAAGTTCCTGGCAGCATTAGCAGAAAGCATAGAAGCATAAAATTCCCTCAGTATGCATAGAAATATTTAGAAATAAAACATGACATTCTGTACATTTATGATCTGAAAAACAAATTTCAAAAAGTACCCAGCAAAAAATACAAATTTCACTTCCTTTTCCCACTACTTAAATGTTTTAATGTATGGAAATTGTTTGTATTATAATTATTGTATTTTGAATTCAGTGTTGAAGTTATCATCTACTGTTTCTTTGAAAATAACAGCCAAACATCATAGCACCACATCTGTTAAGATGCTAGCTCTCCTGATAGGCCTGGAAATAGAATATCAATACTTGTAGGCCAGCATCATCAACACAAGACAGAATTAGAAAATATAAAATACTTTCCCACTAAATAAAACAACAGTAGATTCTTCTTTGGAGTAACAGCAAAAAGTTTTATTATATTGAATTATATTCAGTTACTACAGTTGGATACAAAAAATAAAATGAAAATGAGACTTTGATGCATTTACTGTACTATTTGTCAGGAACTGTGAATACAAAAGAAGAAATATTGCAAGGAGATGAGAAAAGAAAAGAAAAAAAAGATTCTTCTCAGATGAGCTTGACATGAGATGAGCGATGAGATGACTTCTGAAGACACTGGAACAGGCTGTATTATGTTTGTGAATGGTTCATGTGTAGTCTTTCTCACTTTTTAAGTTAAATTATTTCTAAATCCTACTGAAACATCACAGCTGTCCTTCGCCCATGAGAGTCAAGTTCCAAGCTGGCATACTGTACCTCCTATCAGAGAAACAAATAGTCTTATTAACAACTTGAAAAACTCCTGTCAAAAAGGGTTAAGCTGTTTCTAACAGCTTCAAATTTGTTTTTTTATGCAGAGGCAATGAATTTCAGGATACTATCTCCAACTTCCCCAAGTTGCTGACACAGAAATGCAGGATCTATGAAGTAACAGCTTTCTTTTAAACTGTATTGTAATCATTTGCTTTCTCCAGTCAAGCTGTATATCAAAAAGGTGTTACTATTGAATATATTACATTTAATTAGAAAGATAATTATAAAGTACAACATACTGATACTGAGTTTATTCCACGTCTGGCTTCTTTCTCTTGAAGCCCTGTAAGAAATTTTCAGATTGCAGTGCAAAATAAAGTAGTAGCAAAAAATACATGCAACAGAAAATTCAAGTTTTATGCTACTTCATCAACTCCCGCTGCATTTGTTTGAGCCAATCTCACAGAATTTATTCTATCTACACATCTGAGCTGAAAATTAACAGAACGAAAGTGCTCACCCTGAGACAAAAAGACCTTACACTCCCAGAAAATTACGAAGTCAAAATTCAAAAGAAAAATTATACCTTTTCTCTTACATGTTATCCTCTTACAGCATGACATACAGTATACAGTAGACCCACAATGTTGCAAATGACAAATATTACCAAAAACACCAATGAAGTATTTAAATCTGAAGTCATTACAGACTTCTGTAATCATACAAAATTACATTTCATCCTTTGCTGTTCCTACTGTATATGAAATGTAATGATATTGATAATATGAGAAGAAATGTGCAATATTTTTTTCTTACAAATGTACATTTCCTAAGAGATAAAACTGAAGAAAAAAACAAAAACAAATTCATGTTTCTCATCTCTGACTCAAAAAGGTACTATGCAGTATGTCTTTTAGGGCAAAATTTTATGCAGTAATTGATTAGCATAACTCAAGTTCTGCATAATGCTTTCACACATGTTAAAGCAGTATACATTTTTATAATGTACAATGGGCTTCAATAATTTATATTTTGTCTACATAAATTAATAAATGTTATACAGAATTAAGCTATGAATAAGCAGTGACTCAATACAATTTGATAGGTAAATGTAGCCTACCTAAAGATTTTTTTCTGTGTGCTGTCATTGTTTTTATTTCATCCCTAGGACATGAAGATGAAGACAATGTTATTATTAAAGTGGACTTCATTGATTAATCTGTGATAGAAATAACTCAGTCATAAAGTTTTGAACAAAAACAGAATAATATAATACTGTATAACTATTCAAATTAATTAAAGAATGGAAAAAAATAGTAGACGCACCATTCTTTCACCCTGTGGTTTTTACTCCAATCTGCACAAAACAAGCAGCAGAAAAACAGTTACATGGCTTAGTGACAAGTTCCAGATAGAAATAATATAGCTCTTAGAAGAAGGCTTTTACCTTGAAATAAACAAATGATGTTAAGAAGAACCAAAATGATTGCTGCTACTGCCACAGTCACAGTTGTGTAGAGAAGTATCAAACATGTTCCACTTCTCCCTGAGATAAATGTGACAAAAACAAGTTTGCAAATAAAACTAAAATCGAATTGCTGCAGAAAAGAGTTGCACTGTAACAGCGAGATTCTCTAAATAAAACACATAAAAAACTAAGTCTGGAAGATTTCTTATTATTTTTCATATCATTGGTATATACAGTAAAATGCATTGCCTACCTATATGCATTACATTTAAAAATAGAATGACAGCAATTTTGCTTTGTTAGTTAAGTTTCACATATACAGCAAATTTTAATTTTATGTCCCTATTCAAAAACAAATTGTAAGGGTTCAATGACTTCCATTTTCTGTTCCTACAGTAGGAGGTTAAAACAAATGGTTTAAAGCAAGTGCTTGTCTAAATATGTATGTACTAAAATCTAGAACATTTAAGAAATGAAAACTCTATTAAGGAAACCACAAAGGACTGGTGAAGACTATAATTTAAGCATGGATGCTCACCATTGTACTGCACTGTTTTGGTGAAGTTTCTCCCATTCTCAGTCTCTACCACACAGGTGCATGGGGCCCCACTGGCCCATATCTCAGAAGAAATAAGGATCTGGTTTCGAGTGAATTCTGTTTTTCTGTCAAGTTCAGCAGCCTGGTCCTTATTTTCCCATCCAGAGTCAGTGAAGCCACTCTGATAATTGCCAGATATGAGCCAGTACACATGGGCTTGTGTTGGAATGACCCCAAAGACCAGACACATTAGAGTAACATTGGTCTGGTCATTGTCTGATGGTGACAGGATTTCAATGGAAAAAGGCTCCAATACATTTTCTGCACATTTAAAAAGGGTGGGAAAAAGATAGTGAGTGAAAGAGTACATTTCTCTAAAGGTAGCAGTTTAGAAAGGTAGCATACAGTATATAAATAAAACCATTTAACGATCTACAGAAGGCTAAAAAAATCAAATAAATAAGGCTAAATTGTAACAAAATGTTGCAAATAAGGAGTTGACATTAACCCCCATCTTAATTGCATGGTTATTTAGTGGCTAAGTGACCCTGTGTCTTGTTTTCAGTATTGAGTATACATTTGTCCACTGAATTAATGCCTTCAGTAACCCATTGGATTGTATATTGTATAAAATTTTATTTTATATATGCTTTATAATAAAATCTCTTCTCTAAGTCTCTTTGAATAAAAAAATTTAGGTCCTTTAACATGTAATTAATCTCCTGAGACTATCAATCATCTTGCTGGTGATCTCTGAACTCTAATACTACTGTTGCGGTGCAGTGAGCAAAACTCAGAAAATATTGCAAGTGTATTGCAAAATACACACTTTTTGCTACAGTATATACCCAGGCCATAATTACTTTTTATTGCTTTTCTTCATCATTCTTCATAAAGAAGAATCTATATGAACCCATAGATTTTATCGAAACACCGAAATTACTTTTACGTATAGCATACTGCAGTGCATAAATTATGCATATGTTGCTGTGTCCTGTCTGAATTAGTTTATATTAATCAATCAGTTAGTTTATCAATTAATTTACACTTATTAAATTGAATTTGTTAAGTGCCTGCCCACTCCATGATTTTAAAGCGTTTGTATTTCTCTTTCCACTGTTTCTATGTTTGCATTCCCCCAGTTGTGCATCATGTGCAATTTAATCAATTTCACTAGCTTGCTAATCATACTAGAATAATAATATTGATCTTGATTTTAAGAATGGTCCTAAAATGAATTCCTACATTACAACACTGCTAACTCCTGCTCAATTAGCATTCAAACATAAGAACAGTTACAACCAAGAGGAATATATTCATCCCATTAAGCCTGATCACCACTTGTAAAGAAATGTATTGTATTGTTCTCTGTTTTAATGTGGTTTCAATGCCTTTTACTATTTTGAATACATATTATGATGTTATAGTCTTATTATCACATACAGTAGTCTTCTCTGTTAAAGACTAAAAACCATTCAGTGCCTTCAGCATGTAGGGCCGTGTCCACAAGGCCATATCCCAATATAACGTTTTGGCCGTGGAGCCTTCTTCAGGTGACACCTGAAGAACGCTCCACGGCCGAAACGTTGTGTTTTTTCTCTCTTTTTTTCAGTATGGAATAAACCTATTACTTGTTCCTTTGGAGACTATGCATGCTGACGTAGCTACCCACCTGAACTACATATCCCAATATGCACACTTGCAGTCTTGTGCCCTTCACATACATGTTCCTTACATGTACAGGTGTTCAGGGGCTTAGGGTGTTTAAGTCTAAATATGACACTTTTTAAATCTATGTTTCACAAGGGCATTCATGAGCATTCCCAATGCGCCCTTTATGTGCCTTTCTCGGTTCTGTGAAGTTGGCACCCAAACAAACAATATAAATGATGAAAATCACCACATTTGTTAGTGCTCCATTTGTGCCAATTTGTGTAATTGAAAGTAGTGTTTATGCTGTTTTGTGCTCACAGAAGTGAGGACTTGGAGGAAGGGCTTATGGCTCAGTGAGGGATTTGGGGCAAGGGCTAGTACTGTGTAGTGTAGTACATTCCCTTAAGCCCCATTATGTAACTGGATTCTCTTCTTGGACTGATTCCAGAATTACAATATCTGTTCTGTAAAATGGTGACCACAATTGTACACAAAATCCTAAAAGATGCCTGTCTAGTGCACTATAGAATGTGACACAACATCTCTTTAAATTAAATGGTACTGTATATCCTAACATTTTGTTCACCTTTTTATTGAATCACCGTGTTGTCTTATGTACAGTAAATTATTTAAATAATTTTTAAACATAAACTTGTTCTTTTCATAAGCAGTCTCTTCTACCTCAGTCTTTGCCATTTAGTATTTATAGCGCATCGTTTTGGACCTCGGTAAAGTTAGCTTGAAGTTCGAAAAGGATTTTGGGACGCCTGTAGCGTTTTCATGAAACCTCCTAAAAGTAACGAAAACATTTGTTTTGTGTATAAAGTACATTGTGAATGTTATCACAGCCTTCACTTTGTCATTTTTACGCCATTTTCTTTTACCACACACAAATATTCTTATGTCCATATCTTTGCAAGGGAAAAACAGAAAGACTTCAAACCAAACGCATTTTAAAGACCTCGACTTGTGATAATTTTCACAACCTCTATATAAAACTATCAGTGAGGTAATTATCTTTTTGTAAACCTCAGGTTTTTCACCGATGCGTAATTACGCACTAACTGCAACACGGCTGGACCGCTGTGTACCTACTGTACGCACAGGGGTAAAGTTAGCTTGAAGTTCGAAAACGATTTTGGCACGCCTGTAGCGTTTACA